CCCCTTCAATCTTGGGGTGCCCCTGGGCATGAGGGCCAGGGGTACTGGAGAAGCTGTTGAAGGGGATGGTGTTGTTTTTCGTGTGGTGAAAGTGGAGAGTGAGGGGCAGCGTCTGTGGGATCTCCCCCCGTCAGTGTCATTAACAGGTGCTCGCTGCAAATAGCACAGGGTGAGGCCATGTCTCACACACCCACACACACTGAGAGACTCCCAGCCACACACACTGAGCGACTCCCAGCCACACACAATGTGACACATTCACACACACTCTGAGAGACATACACACACTGTGAGAGACATACACACACTGTGAGAGACACACAAACACACTGTGAGACCAGAGACACACAGACTGTGAGACCAGAGACACACACACACGCTGTGAGAGACACACACACACACTGTGAGACCAGGGACACACACGCTGTGAGAGACACACGCACACACGCTGTGAGACCAGAGACACACACACACTGTGAGACCAGAGACACACACGCTCTGAGACACACGCACACACACTGTGAGACCAGAGACACACACGCTGTGAGACACACGCACACACACGCTGTGAGACACACGCACACACCCTGTGAGTCCAGAGACACACACGCTCTGAGACACACGCACACACCCTGCGAGTCCAGAGACACACACGCTGTGAGACACACGCACACACACCCGGCAGGCGCAGGCAGTAGCAGCAGGGGGGTCCGCAGCCGTCTCTCAGTCCGAGAGCCCGAGACTCTGCACAGGTCAGCCAGGACCGCCAGCATGGCGCCGCGGCGCGCGGGGTGTCATCGCCGTGGTTGCGTGTGCCGCCGTGGCCAGTCGGGACTGGGATAGCTCCTCGCTGGGGTTGGCGGTGGCGGGGGATGTTGTGATTGTCGGCGCGGTCGTCTCGGAGCTGGGGCTGCGGTGAAACGTGGAAGGGGGACGAGACGTGGAGGTGCTGGTGTGGAGGTCTCCCTGGGCCATCTCAGCTTGAAGTACCCCAGCAGTAGAGCCTTCACACAGGCGGAGCTCAGTCCCAGTCCGTCCTGGGGCCCCGTCAGTCTGTCTGTCGGCTCGCTGCTCTGCGGACCTCGCTGTCTGTCTGCGTTATGCTCTGTATTGGATTACCACAGACTGCAAGCAGCTGGAAGTCTCGCTTCAGAGACTCCTAGATTCTTCTTCACCCAAGTCTGGGCTTTGGCAGCAGGGAGGCGCAGCTTGTTCAAGACCCCCGCTACTCTCGGTGTAAAGCAGTGGTGATGTCGCGCTGTGTCAAGTCTGCATGATCCCTCTCTCTCTCAGTGCAGTGTTGGTGTACTGAT